CCCCCCCCTTCCCCCCCCCCCCGCCCTCTCCCCTCTTCGCGTTGTCCCTCTTCCCGGCTTCTTACCGTAGGCGACACACAAGATATCACACCCCAATGACCGATTTTCAAAGTTCGATTACCCCACAGCAGAAAGAGTGGCGCAATGGCGACGTCTGGAACCGTTGCGTCAATAGCTTTCCGAAAACTTACTGTTTGACTGCGTTGACATCCACTTCGTCGTGGACAATCGAGCTTGGAAAATCGTCCCAGGGGGGTTGATATCCAACGTCACCTACGGCATAGATCCGAGGTGTGTCTACGTTATGACCGAAAGACCACGGCATGCACCGTACGAGAGCAACCCGCACCCTCGGGTAGTAACTAAACCTAAAACATCAATGCATTCAAAAACGTCAATTCAAGAAAAACAACACCAGAAAACCGCGAACATTGTTTAGCCATCTTTGGCAAAGAAGGAAGGCACGATTGGCCATCATCGGTGATCGGTCCCGTGGGCACAATGCTCCGTCCTCTCGAAGACGCACGGTCAATGTTCTAACCGCTAAGGCATGCAAAACATAAGAGTTTCCCTCCCCTCCCCACCTCGGCACCTCGATTGCTTCCTTGAAAATGTCCAACAACAACAAAGGCGTGCAAAACAAAAGTACGCCCTCCAGCACCTTGAACGCCTCCTCGACAATGTCCAACAACTACAAAAAGGCACTCAAGACACAGGTACGCCCTTCAGCACCTTAAAGGCCTCCTTGAAAATGTCCAACAACGAAAAAGGCATGCAAAACAAAAGTACCGCCTCAGCACCTTGAACGCCACCTTGACAATGTCCAACAACTAGGGCCTGCAAACCATAACAACGCGCTTCAGCACCTCGAACGCCTCATTGAAAATGTCCAACAACAACCCTAATAAGGCATTCAAAACACAGGTACGCCCTTCAGCACCTTGAAGGCCTCCTTGAAAATGTCCGCCTGCAGGATCTCCTTGGCCTTTGGCAACGAGCAGTCCCTCCAATGGGCCCTCTCGGGCATGCTCAGCAGCTTGGCGGCCACATCTCTCCCGAACTGGAGGGGGACGTGACGCCGGTTTCCCCTGGCGTCGATGTTGCCTCCCTGGAAAACCCGCGGCGGCGGCGGCGGCGGCGGTGCGCCCACAAACGAAAATATAAGCGCTTCGTGTATCGCATTTGGAGGGTATACATTATATAGTAGTGGTCCGGGTAGAATGCCGGTCGCTCGCTAGAATGCCCGTGAAATCGTCTGGCACAGATGGAATACTCAAGTCGTTTCATACTCTGAATGAAGTGGTGGTTGCCCGCTACAATGCCGGTGACATCGTCTGGCACAGGTGAAAATTTCAACGCGTTTCATACTCTGAATAACATGCTGGTTGCCCGCTGTAATGCCGGCGGTGAAAAAAATGTCGGTGAAAGCGCACCGGCATTACACAGGGACCACTACTGCAATGGTATAATTTTGTCCTTCCCGTAGCCTCGAAGAGGAGGTCCCCGGCCTTTTCCCTCACTCAAAAGACTACCGCTCAAGAGCCAGCCTCCCACTTGGTATGCGTTTTACACCCAAATCTTCTACGTTACAATCGCCGTTTCGTATTCATCTCCACGAAGGCCGAGGGGGGGCGATAGCTCCCCGCCCGCGCCTGCAGCCCATGTAAAAAATAAATCATACAGATCTTACCTCGGGGACTCTGTGTATGAGTCGCACCCTGCTGCCGACAACGTCCCCCGGGAGCTCGGCGTAGAAGTACGGCCCGTCCTTCAGCGTCGCTCTCAGGTCAGCATCTTCCGGTACCTGCAAAACAAGGCCGTGTTGATCGATCGGTTGCACGGTGGACGGACATGAGGGTTCGTCCTTCACGGCTCTACGTGCTACCGTCTATGGACTCGTCAGTTTGTTAGTTGAGGCTCGCTGGGATTTTCGAGAGAAGAGCACGGCAGCTGTGCCAGCTGCTGAGCTGTAAATACGTAAATACAGCGGTTTTCGCAAGTGACAGACAGTACTGCTGTATTTCCAAAAACGATCACTGCTTGTGGGCCACGCCTTTTTCGAGCCCGGGAATGTCATTTCGTGGTGATTCGTTCCGCCTTCTCACGCGACTGAGTGCCTCGCAAATTGAAAAAGGAAATTGTTTCCGCCATATGCTTTTGGAACTATTTGGATGTTTACACGATTGTGTAGCTCGTTCAAAAAACACACCCGTGGAGAGACGTCGGAGTAACCCTCAGTTTCCTTCCACAAGAACACCTAAAGCAAACAAAAAATGGAAGGGCGGCTCATCTTGCGGTTCACTCATTCAACACCGCTTTGTTGAATGTAATTCAGTCCTGTTTCGCTCAATACTGGCACTGGCTTGACGCTGCACGGCTGAAAGGAAACAACAGCTTGCACAACATTTGACTTCAAAAATATCATCCACGATAACCAAAAAAACGATCGACATTGTACGCTGACAACCTCAACGGACGACTTAAATGCACCCCCTTCTTTTCTTGACAACGGGAGCTATCGAACAGCTCGTCAACGTGGCCGTCCAAAACACCATCTCGCACAACGTTCGCCACTGCCAACACCAGTGTGTTCGTGACAGATGTACTGAGTTGCCGTATATGACACAAGACATCACACCCCCAGAACCGGTTTTCAAAGCTCGATTACTCCTCACCAAAAGAAAGAGCGGCAGCGCCGATAACGAGGGCGTTGAAACCGTCTCACCGAGAGCTTTCGGAAAGCGTATCGTTTCATTCACGCATCATCTTTATCGTGGAGTAATCGAGCCGTGAACATCGATCCGGGGGGTGAGCTCTCTCGTGCCATGTCACCTACTGTATACGTGAAACGACCCGCTCACCTCTTGGAAGGTCATGCCGTGCCTGGTGCCTTCGGAGCGCATGAGTATCCGGGCTCCTCGAGAACCCTCACCAGCCGGAATCGGCACCGCCTGACGGGTTACCGTTAAGGGTTGGGGTTAAGGTTGATAGAGGACGCGCTGGGCTTTACAGAGTCTTGGATTCGGTCAAGTGTTAGTCGAAAAGACACGCTGTGCCACGCAAGAGTCTCGATTCTGTTCAAGCTTTTTTAGTACATGACGCGCTACGTCATACGGAGTCTGGACGGAAAAAAAAAGTGACACATACGCCGGGCTACACAAGAGGGTTGGTGCGAGGTAGTCGGGGTAATGCCGCGATTCTCCTTCAGAGTGGAAGAGCGAGTGGGTACGAAACACTCTATTGCCAACAACATCTGGCACGTATAGTCAGCAACAGCAGCAGCAGCAGCAGCAGCAACAAGCACGGACACAATTGAACAAGAGTGTGTTCAGGAAACAAATCTTATTCTCGTGTGCTTGCCTGAATGTGCAGGTGATGAGCCCCCTTGGTGGGGACGCAGCGCTCGAAGAAGAAAGGCTCGCATCCGCAGCTGAGGCAATACCTGCGACCACAAGAGAGAGATAAACACACAGAAGGAGGGGGGGGGGAGGGCAGGG